CATATGCTCTCAGTGTAGTCTGACATTTTTTGTGTGCCTCTAAGTGCACTTTTTGTGTGCAGCTAAGTGTGATGAAACGGTACTCATCTTGTGATTTGTAACATAAATGTGGGTCTTTCTAATCATCTGTGTGCCTGAATTACTGGGTGTGAGGCAGTATCCTGTGTATTTTGTCGTGGCAGCTCTTTATGCGGGCCAATTCCTGCTGCTTTTAGTTCAACCTGTTTGTATAGAACTGTTTGGATCTTTAAAAGGACAAAAAAGTGTTCTTGCAAACCATTCACAAGTTACGAGATGATCATGAGATGAAACTCACCCAAGATAAAAATAAAATGTAGTTAAATCAGTCATTCATGTCTTGAAACAAAGCTGTAATTCAGTTTTTGACCATTCTTCTCAGAGTAACTTAACATTTTAGTCATGATGAAATAAGGACAGTTCAGCTGAGAAGTGCATGACTGGAAGCTTCTTCCTTCATTATGATTCCCTGTTGATGGTTTGGGAAAAAAAGTCAGAACTAAGGGGAACAATTCCAGGTGCATGTCTTTCTACAGTGTGCATGTATATATATATATGTATATCTTACATGTCCAATGGATGGGAGGGCATAAAAGGACTTTATCTGTAACTGCAAGTGCTGTTATCAGCCACTGAATTCTCTTACTGTTTCCTAGCTGTTAGAAGCAGTTATAGTTCAAGTCTGGACTACAGGACTTTTTAGACTATAGCAGAGATGACAATTTAATCTCTTAATCCTTCTTGCTCTTTAGACTTTCTCAGAAGAAACCTGAGAAGAAATCCATCCCCATAGTGGTGGCTTTCTCCCGTTATGGTGGACTAAATGCTTCTGCTATAGCTGCCTCCAGGTAGGCTCCTCTGTCATCCTCCGCATACCCTTGCGAATGCTCCATTCTTTCCCCTGTTGCCAGCTCATTTGTTTTTATACATGCACTTCACTGTTCCCGGGAGTAGGGGTAGTTAAAGTGAAATTGGTCAGGTGCTCAGTTCAGAGCCCAGGTCTAGCTTATTTGTGGAGGATCCATGATTGTGCAATTGCAGTTTTAGCAGAAAGAGGCCACTAACTCTTCTCCCTTCCCCTTTTTTTTTCTCTTGGTACAGTGCACGTGGTGTATGTGCTTGATAACTTGATTGCTTTTTGTACTTTTCTCTGCCCTTCTTTCTTCTGGAAAATAACCCTCTGACATATGCATACAGTTGAATGCTTATTGTGCCCACTTTTACTTACATACACTTCAGTAACACTTTCTGCAAGAAACTGTAGACATCTTTGGTTTTGTCATTGTTCACAAGAGAGTATAGCTTAGCTTTGGAGAAGACATTTCTTGGCATCTGTTAAAATGGGAGTGTGGAAGGATTTATAAATATGTACTCTGAAGTATAGAAGTGTGTTTTTTGTCTGAATAGTAATACATGAACTTGGCTGATTTTTTATATTATAAATAAGGGTGAAACCCTGTCAGAAAACGCCTGCATAAAGGCAGGTGGGTCTATACTTGTCATGTTAAGCTAGTTAATATCACTAAAAAGTTTAGCCAAACTTCAGGTACCTTTCAACTTTGTTTTGCTGAAAGATCGTTTTGCAGGCAGGTCTACTTGGTAAACCAAGCTGAACTTTTTAGATCATTCTCAGTTAAAATACTTTTTTCCATTACCTCACTTAGGGAAAACTAAAGCTCTTGAAGTTAATGCTCCACCCTTTGCTCACTCAGGAATCCCAACTACAACATTAAAAAGTACATTGGAAATGACAGTGTTTGGTAAAGGCTGTCGCTAGGTTATTCTCTCTTTTAAAGAGTCTGACTCATACAGATCTAGGGAAATTAATTATTTAGGCTTTGAGCTAGATCAACGGTTGTTATACATCATATAGCTTGCATCCAGAATACGTAGAGTCTATAACGTCTTGATCTGTGTATAATTTGTGTCAGTGATACCATAGGTTTGTGTTAAGTCTTTGTGGTTTTTACTGCTCATATGAGTGATTGCTGTTTTCCAGGATGTGTGAAACAACATTAGCATATCTTAGAAAGATTGGATACACGTTACAGGATAGAAACGGCCTTTGAGTTAGTCCCACATCTGTTATTCTACACTGGCCCATTACTAAATGTTTCAAAAGGAAATGCGAAATGCTTGCAAAGAACAAATGCCAACGTGCATTTTGGGGGAGAAAGTTTCTCCAAATGACATATTAGCTAATTTGCATCCTGCAGCATAAGATTACATTCATATGTTTTCTCTCTCTTCTTTAACTTTAGCTGTTAATATTACTTATCTAAGTGCTTATCCTTCAGGCAACCTTACTAAACATCTTAATTGTCTTAACATCTTGTTGAGTGAGTTCTGTATCTTAGCTTTGTATATTAAAAAAAAATCCTCTAGTGTTTTAAGTTTGGTGTCTAGTTATTTCACTTGCTGTTTGGCTTTGGAAATCAGCAGTCCAGGTTTAAATCATCCTTTAAAATATTACAACAATCGCCTATTAGGATTTTCATCTTGTCCTCATTCTTACTTGTTCTGGAGAAGTTGTCTTAATTTGTTCACTGGATCATTATGATTTACATTCTGCTTTGGGAGACCAGGTTTCTCAGAGCTGCATTTAGATCCAATAAGAATCTGAGAGAAGCAAAGTGGGTTCTAGTAATTATTTATTCTTGAGCAGCAGAAATCTTTTATATACAATAATGTAAATTATTATTTGCTTATGCAGTTTCAATTGACTGAAAATGGGTAAAGCCATGGTATGCAGAACACATTTCTTATGGCATGGTCTTTTGCTAAATTGATGTTCTGATTCCAGCATGAAATAGAATTCATACATGGATTAGTTCTTTGATACTTCCCTCGTGTTAATTTTTATAATTTCTGTGGGAATCTGTGTGTGTGCATTTTTCCGCCCCTGTGTTGAAGCTCCATTTTGAGGGAAGCTATGCTAATACATATAAACTAAAGGAGCTCAGGAGGAGAGGTGCTTTAGTAAGAATCAGGGTGACTAACACAGTTGATGCATTGACTTTGAACCTTTTGGCAAGGTTCCCATTGAAGTGATTGTAAGCTATTGCATTGTCCCTTAGCAGCAGGAAATCCTATCTGCCTTTGCTGAGGCTCAACTAAATTACACAAAAGGATGGAATAAATTTTGCTTTTTAGTGTAGATGATAGTGTACAGCTAAGCAGAGTTGGATTCTGAACCTTAGCCTGGATAACGTGCTGAACAAAGCATTTTGTCAACCCAGACAAAGAACAGGAAACTTTAACTAGCCAAGCTTTGTTTTATGTCAGTAAATTTTTCTGCATTTTATGGTTTAAAGATTGATGTTATATGCAGGGTTTTGCCTCATGAAAATCAATCACTCATTTCACAAAAAAAAAAAAATCTGTATTAAGTCATTTAGGCTTTTTTGACTTACAAAAACATTCAGAAAATGGATCATAATGCACTGCTCTTGGTGATCTTGTTCCTGGAGTAATTAAATAAAAATTTGACCACTGTTAAATCCAGATAACTTTATAAGCTACAAACAAAGGCCAGTTCTGAATGTTAATGCACTTTGACTGAACTCGTTAGCTCATAAATGTTATGATGAAGACCAGTAGTTTAAAGGGAAGGTCAAGGGGGAGGTGTTTCAAAATACTAAAATATTAAAAACTGAAGAAAATTTTTGTAAAGGAAAAGACAGACCCGCACAAAGCTGTACTAGAATATATGCTTTTTATGTCTGAGGATCTTGAAATTGATAAAAGCAAGAGAGAGCTAAGAAGGTGATTTAGAGAAAGGTTCCTAATAAGGTTTAGATTACTGCTATCTGCTGAGTTGTAAAATGTTCTAATACCCACAAAATCTTTGTGGTTTGTTTGAATACCACTTATACATAAGTATGTACCTTTCTGTTTTTATAAATAATGATCTCGTGCTGTCTAATGTACACATGATCCTTTTGCTACCATGACTGTTAGTTTGCTTCTGTAAAAGAAATCGTGGAAGTAATTTAGCTAGCAGTAGGTAGAATTGGGATAGGAAGGCTTCCATCCACATCCTCTGAACACAGCATGAGCGGATTTCTGCTTAACTCCAAACATGCTAATGTTCAGACATGTATAGTGCTCAGACTGAGATGGGATTTAGAATAGCTGTCAGTATTCATGTAATAAATTTCTTGGTTTTTCAAACATTTCGTCTGATATTCTAAGTCTCTCTGCCTTTTTTTCATCCAGGAGGCTGAACAGAATTGACCAGGATAGTATCTTGCAAATTAATACCCATTTTCATTATAGGTCCCAGATCACTGGCAATTGACTACTCTTACCACTTGCTGTGAAACTTTGATGCTCCTGGCTTCTTGGTTTCAGAGCCTTATCGTGGAAGGTCACCACAGTTTGCCTGTAGTATTGTCTAGCAACATTAACAAATGACTGCTAGTAAGATACTTGCTCTGTCATTTGCCATGTTGTGAGAGTAGAGCCCAGAGGCCCTGCTCGTGGAGCTAAAGGAAAAAAAAGATGTTGCTTAGGAAATTTAAAAAGAAGGAAAATAAAATAGATTCCCAATGTCTATAAACAGTAGGCATGATGGTGGCTATGTTTATCATCTGCAATATAGCACTTCCATTGTTAGATACATAATATTTTTGTCCTTTATTCTCTGTAGTCACTATGTTACACTTGAGTTCTGTAGTTCAGTTAGATAAAATATATCAGGATTGGTGAGAAAATTCTAAAAACATTTTGTTTTCCTTTGTGAGCATTATTTTTGTGAGCAGAAGATGTGAGTTCAGGTGCTTGGCTGAAGAAGTTTGTGCTTATTTAGAATCCATGAATAAATAAAAAAGCTGTGTGCTTCTTTGTGCTGCGTTATGGATTGTCCTTACTATATTACTATTTTTCCATACCAACTTACTACAAAAGCTTTGATGTCATTGTTTTACGTATACTTTGTTGCAGATATTTTCATGTTTCCTTTTTCTTTTCCCTTTCATCAGACGTTCGCTGACCAGGTATTTGGTATCTTCAGCTGGACAATTCCCATTGCAGTAGCCTTTTCTTGTTTTGGTGGACTTAATGCTTCAATTCTAGCATCATCAAGGTAGTGCATATCACTTTCTGTTTGACAAATGTTCTTAAGTATTTTTACATGTGACTGTTATGCTCATCTATTATGAGAGTGGCAAAAATACTTTTGTAATCAAACCTATAGTGAATAGCCACAATAAAATTACAGACCTAAATAAACCTCTGTGTGTGTGTACATACACCCTTAACGCTGCCTTACTTCCCTAAAGCATTCCTAACTGTATGCAGGGTACAATTAAAGATCAAATGAATGTTGTCTGTGTGGTGAGTCGTCAGGCCTTCTGGTTATTTGGATTGAATGTTCTTCCATTTTACTTGATACAATAATTCTAGCAAGTTCTTTTCAGATATATTTACTGAAAACTTACTGACTTTTTAAAATCAGTATCTTTAAGGGTTTTTTCAAGTAAAAAGTTTTAAAAGTTGTTATTGCTATTAAGCTGCAGTCAGAAAACTTAGGATACAGTATAGAAGCTTTCCTCTGAGCACTGATTGTGGATTTGTCTAGTGAAAGTTTTAAATAGATTTATTCAGGCATTTTAAGATCCTTCCTGTCCATTGAATGTATGCACAATGCCTCTATACTGAGAACAAATATGAACATGATCTGGTGAAGTAGTCAATATAGAACAATTTGCAGTTGATAATAAAATAATGTGTGTTTGTTTTTTGAGCATGTGGTTGAGTGACCTCTTTTTAGAGACCTGGCAATCTCTTCTGGTTGGCATTAAAACTGTTCTGCTATAAGCTGGAATGTTTTCAGCGTTAGCTTTTAGAATTTTTAGAACAATAGAAATTTATTTCAGTTACTGTAGATGTTTTCTGTTTTACCTGGAGGATTGTTTTTTAAAAATGGATGTTAACAGCATGTTTCTAAAAGCTTATATATCTTTTAATGGTTGTTGTGCAGTACATCTTTATATGAAGCGTTGAATCCATGTTCCAGTTTAAAGAATAGAAATTCAGTGGTGTAAATACTTATTTTGGCTGGTATTGTTCTTTTTCTGTAATACATTCTCTCTCACCTGTGGCCTCCACATCTGTTTCCTGACTATTTTTTTTTCCCCAGGCTATTTTTTGTAGGATCTCGAGAAGGTCACCTTCCTGATCTGTTGTCTATGATCCACATAGGGAGGTTCACACCTGTGCCAGCACTGCTCTTCAACGTAAGTTATTATTATTTCTCTTTTCAGCTCTTCAGAACTGACTATATGAATTATTTAGAGGAAAGCTTTAAAAAAATCACAAGAGAGTGCTTCGGATTTGCTGTGATCACAGTGATTTCTGAGAGTGATTTTTGAGGCATAAAATCATGCCAAACACCAAGGAGTATAAGGTGTTACTTTAAGGCAAAAGCAGCATAAACAATATGTTTCAAACTTCTGCTATTCATCTCTCTTATTCTTTTCTGACAGTGTGCTATGACCCTTATTTACCTGGCTGTGGAAGATGTCTTCAAGCTTATTAATTACTTCAGTTTCAGTTACTGGTTTTTTGTTGGTCTGTCTATTGCTGGGCAATTATATCTACGTTGGAAGGAACCAGATCGACCCAGGCCTCTTAAGGTAATACTTATTAAAGAATTGTTTAAAATTCCACATATTGTAAAAGTACCATCTAAAATCTCGACCATATGTATTATGTCTAAAGGTTACAAATTGATTAGGACATAAAACATGGCTTCCGTTTCATATTGTACCATGAAAGCTAGCTTGTCTGCTCTATAATAAGTGATTGTTGTAATAGTATGTTCTTTTATTGTACGTTAGTTCAATCAGTATCCCTTCTCTCTGTCAACTGGAGAATGTCTCAATAGGCTAACATAGTAGTTAGCCTTTTTTCTTGGATTAGAAATCTCTAATTAGGAATGCTTAATTAATTCTGTTGATGTGGACCACATTTAGTGCTGATGGTATTTCAGTTCAATATCTGATCCTCTTATCATCTTCTCATACTTTGCTACTCTACATGAAAAAGTCATTCTTGTTTCCTGAGTTTCATTGGATTTGTCGAAAAAACACTTCATGCTGGTATACAATTTCTTTCAACACAGCAGAATTACCATAGTTGATTACTTTTGCAATTTTTAGCAGCAGTTCTGTTCAAGAGTAATTCTGCAATTTGCTTATGGTTCCAAATAGCCAGATGTATAAGAGGAAGAGCAGATAATTTCACAAAGTGGGCTTGAGAGGGAGAAGTTTCCAAACATCACCAAAATGTTTGTAACTGTAGAGAACGAGTATTTCAATAACATTCTGTTCTGGTTTTCTGTCTGCAGCTGAGTGTGGCTTTCCCAATAATATTCTGTATATGTACAGTATTTCTGGTGGTAGTGCCACTCTATAGTGACACTATAAATTCATTGATTGGAATCGCCATTGCTCTATCTGGAATTCCAGTCTTTTTCTTGGGAGTCTATTTACCTGCATCAAGGAGACCTCAGTTTATCAACAAGATTTTAGGTAAGTTTCTTTGTAGATGGAGATGATGTTAGGACAGCGGAAAATTAAATAAGTGAATCTCGGTATGTTGATGAAAAGGGTTATAGTCAGCTGACCCCAGCCAGCAGCTAAGTACCCACAGAGCTGCTCTCTCACCAGCACCCCCAGCAGGATGAGGGAGAGAATAGGAAGAACAAAGGTGAGAAGATTCGTTGGTCAAGATAAAGACAGTTTAGTAAGTGAAGGAAAGAGGGGGAAAAAAACCCACTGCTGCAAAGGCAATCACTTACCACCTCCCACAAGCAGACTGATGCGCACCCAGTCTCCAAGAAACAGCCACCTTGGAAGACACGCTTACACATGCACGCACTTCTTCTGCTACCCGTTTTTATTGCTGAGCATGACATTATATGGCATGAAATATCCCTTTGCCTAGTTTGGGTCAGCTGTTCTGGCCATCTCCCCTCTGAACTTCCTGCCCATCCCCATCCTGCTGGTTGCAAGGAGAGCAGAGTGGGAAGAAAAAAACCCCAGCCTTGATACTATGCAAACACTGTTCAGCAATAGCCAAAACATCAGTGTAACACACCAACCCTGTTTGAGCCACAAATCCAAAACACAGCACCATATGGGCTGCTATGAAGAATGGTAACTGCATCCCAGCCAGACCCAGTAAAGAGCTATATCAATTTTATACATATGTTTTTACACCCAGATTTTATTTACTGTATATTTAAAAGACCATCCACTTTCTACAGATTTTGTCCTCAGTTTTTATACATTTCTCTTTAATCAAGCACATGAAAAATCTTTTTCTTAAGCAAGGTTGATGACTGTAAAAGGGCTGGACATTCTTGGTAATGCAAGCTAACTGTCTTGCTTTACTGAATCAGTTGTTTGAAGATGGATAGATTTTATGTCAGTCACAGATGGAATTTTGCCTTCTATTAAATTGCTGCAGTTAAATTATACATTTTTCTTCAGCAGTGCACTATTGTCATGTATGTGAGAAAACCATGATAAGGGATGTGGAAAGGAAGGTTTATGGCATAATCTTAGAATGTACCAGGATGTGATGCTGCAGCTGCTAGTGAATATGTGAATACTCAGTAATCTTGTCACTTTGCTGTGTGCTATTTATTTTTTTTATTCTACATATTTACACTCTTAATTACAGAGAAAAAAGATTTTACTTCAGTTACTTGGCAGGATACCTAAAAGAAAAAACACCCTAGGATATCAACAAAAGTTTTAAACATTATCTGTTTAAAAAAAATGAGTGGAAGACACTTTTTGTATTAACTTTTATCATTTGTTTCCCTTAAGAGAAGAGGCAGCATTCTTGACAACTAACTTTCATTAGTCAGATGCATGTTGTGTAATTAGAGTTGAGATTAGGTGGCTATTCTTCTGATTTATCTCCAATTTCCTATGCAGGTGCAGTCACACGAAACATGCAGCTGCTCTGTTACTGTGTTTTAACAGAGATGGACACAAATGAAGAAAAGAAGTTATAAATCAAATCCAACTAAATTTCAAAGCCATTACAAGAAACAGGAGGGAGGATAAAGCAATTATGACAACAAAAGGGAAGAGATGGAACTGGAAAAAACAAGAAAACGGTTTCCAGTGGTCTTTCAGAAACACTGAAAAAGTACTTACTTGCAGTCGGATTCCCATGTAGATTGTGCCCTCGCATCACCCTCCTAAACTGTGGCATATTTTCGGGGCATGTTTTCATTGGATAATGATTACCTACTCATTTCAGGCACACAAGCTATGCGTCAATACTGTTCCTTCTTCAGAATTGGTATTAAAATGGTAAGAGCTAATGGATCAAATTAGATTTCTGCAGAACCAGGCGGTGAAGTAATGCATTTTTAAGTTAGACTGAAAACCATTTTAACTCAAAAGACCAAAAGTCATTTCCAGCTTAATTCTGATGGATGTTTGCATGAAATGATTTGCTGTGCTATCAGTTCTTATCCCAGAAGACAACTGGTCACAACAAACTACCTAATTTGTCATTATTAGCAGAAGAATGAATAAAGGTGTGCTACATTATTTAAAGACTGAACCAACCTTTCTCCCTTAAAGATAAAGATATTTTATTCCATACGCTGTGTGGAAATGTGGTATCTGACTGTGGCAAGGATTTAATCAACAAAGCACCCTGGCACTAAAGATTTGATTAACATTTGATGATTCTTTACTGTTAGCTTGTTAGTACATGGTCAACTTCTGATAGGCTTTATGAAACTTCCAAAATTAAAATGTTCAGTTTGAAGCTTGTAAGCATTTGTTTCTGAACTATTTCAGGGAACACACTAGCAGTGTTACCTCAACAGTCAGAAAATTCCCTTTCTAAATTTCAGTGCTGTTCACTAGAAAATGACCATCCAAAAACTCAGAGAACAAACCACTTTCTTTTTTTCTTCTATAGCAAAAGTTCTGTGGCAGCAACTGTATCTTGAAAGCTAAGTAGCAGGGAGAGAAAATAGGAATTAGTACTATTTGTAATTCTAAAGCTGTAAGCCTAACATCAGGACACTTTGATACTGAATTTTGGTGCAACAAAAGGTAATATGAAGCCAGCCTGTTCGGCTAGCAGAATGAGATATACTTCAAAAACATACCTGGAATTTTTATCTTAGTTCAGAATGTTTACCTCAGTTGACCTGAGTTTGTCGACAGGTGCGGGTTTTTTGTGCTTTTAAGTTGAACTAAATCTTGTAATCACAAGATTATGGCTGAAGCGATGCATACTTCAAATGCTGCACCACATTTGTAGCAGCCACTTGAATAATAGTGAGAATATTTGGATTCTTGCACTGACTCCCTGACCCAGGTTATCCATCTTAAACAAAAAGCTATATGTAATGGCAAATGGTAGTAGATGGTGAAGATTAACATAAAATGGAGCCTTGGGCTACTTTTATGAAGCAGCATTGGGATTTAAGATAGTTAATGCTAGCTGAGGAACTCTGTGCACAGTTGGCATGTAAACATAGAGGGTCTTTTCAGTATTTAATGAAAATTAGCATTTAGCTATTATAATACAGCTTTTTAATCTTGCATATGATTAGAATGAATTCACCATCTAAATTGAGACATCTGTCCAGTGGGCAAACATAGCTTTAACAGGCTAGGGTTGTGGTATAGGTTAACAGCCAAATTAACCTTTCTGTGAAATGAAGGAAAAAAACCATTTTTCCTCCACTACCTTGACATCATCAGCCAGAACTAACTGACCTAAAGTCACTGCTGCAACCTACAGCACATGAATGACACTGACCTAACACCCTATTAGCTATTTTTTACAGACTCAAGTGGGAGAGTGCTGCAATACTTTGTGTGTCCAAACAGGCAAGATTAAATAATTGTTTTAAAGATGAATGAATGCAAGTTAAAATGATGAGATGGCTTCAGCTGTATCAACTCATATGATCTTTAAATGAGTAAAGAAAACTTAGCCAAAAATTCTTTATTTACATTTTAAATGCACATATATTGTTCTGCTCCCATAGTAAAATTACTATTGGAGAGTGATCCAGCAATAAAGTGGACAGTTCAAGGCATTTAAATGCTCAAACACTCATAAAGAAAGTAACTTGAAACTTAGGAACAAATACAGTAGAAAGCACTGGGACAGACTGCCTTTTTCTAGGACTTCCACTTGCTATCACAGCAGACATGTCGATCTTCTTGTGAAACCTGACACATTAGTCATGACCAGAAGGGCTGCTGCCAACAGCACCTCCATATATAATGTGGAGGTACTGTCAGTACAGATAGAAATGCTTGGCCATGCAGCTTTTTTAATTTAAAAAAAAAAAAAAATCCTTAAGAAGCTCAGCATCACAGAATGGGCAGAAAAATCTATTTTAAAGCATGTAGTATCCTTTGCTTGGAATGAAAATTTGTCTTGTCAAGTGGCCATATTCATACCCCTCTGTTTAATACCTACCAGCTGAAGTTGGCTGCTCAGATAGTAACAGCGCAGATGATAGACATTTTCCCATTTACTGGAATCCCAATCTAGTACCTAATACTCAAGCCTAGTCAGTAAGCATTAGGGTGAACTGTGCTAGTCACCAACAGTTTCAGAAGACAGACAGGCAAAAATTTAGCTTAAAGCTCATCCATGTAAAGATTGGTTTCCTACTGTCCCAATGAGCACAACTTTTACCAAAAAGTGGTTTTCCAGGGTTTTTTTGTGGTTTGGTTTTTTTTTTTCCAGTTCAACATTCTTATGAATAGCCATCAGCAGTTGTCTAGATTTTCAGTTCTACTACAACAGTAGAATTTCATCTTCAGTGTGCATTTCATCTTCAAAAAAGGGCTGTTAGTCAGAATCCAAATCCTGGATCTCATCATATCCAAATTCCTGTAGAACCTCCTGTCGGTATTTGTTCCATGTTCTTCTTCTGTAACATTGGTCCTCATCACTGAAACTCTCTTCAGACTCTAAAGAGAGAGCATCAACACTTTTAAATTATCCCTTCTTTTTAGTTAAACAATTACATTCATCAGATTATTTTAAGCTTCTTGAGTAACTAACAAATACAAAGTCTAAACAACTTCTCTGTTAGGTGAGGTTTGAATTGTGCTTGGAGTGCACTGGGATGGGGAGTTCAGAAAGCACAGGCAGTGTTTCACAAGCACATGGAGCCAGTCACCTATTCCTTCTCAAAACAAGCAATCCTTTGCAATTGCAGCAGCCTGAAATAGAGTTCTTAATTTTGACTTTGCAAAAACACTAAGATCCTTTGTAGTTCCAAGAAAGATGATCCTTTTCTAAGCAGATTTAACCCATTATAAGAGCAGAACACTACCCCAGTAGTGCTCAATTAGTTGCTTTTTTAGAAATGGCATGTAAAAAGGATGAGATTTATATGTGCACAGCATGAAAACAAACAGTATTTATGACAGGCATACCTTTTTCTCCATCACCATCTTCCTCGGGTAAGAATTCGTCTTCATCAGGATAATCATTACGCCAGTTATTTTCATCATTTTCATCATCTTCATCTTCATATATTTCCTCTGGAACATGATCATCATCTACCTGCATGTCAACACAAAACATAACATTCACTGTAAATACAGACACTTGGCATTAAGCGGTTTTTCATCTACCTATACAATACTACACAGATCACACAGAGCCAAGAGATATTTATCTACTTCCTGCATAAATAATTCTGCAGTTGCACAAAGCAAACTGCAGAAAGATTTGTGTTGTCAGTATATTCACCATAACATAGTGATCTGCTTTAGGTGAAAAATCAGTTAAGTCATGCATTTACATGTTCCACTTCAGCATTTAAATGCTAAGGTTAATGTCTAAATTAATACTGCTCACTTCAGCAGTAGTGTAATAGATCAAGGAAAAGAAAAAGTAGCTTCAGGTTCCCAATATGCAAGTCTATTCATCACAGTACCGATACAATGAAAGACAAAAGCTTACATTTAACTTCCTAACTCCACAGTCACTGAAGGACAGTTCTACTACAAGAAAGTATCTTGTATTAAGATTAAAGTCAAGTCCTCAAATATTGAAAAAGGTGTGTGTCCCCTTGCTCCTTCTTTCACTCAACTGTATTTACAACTACATTTTAATTGCTGCCTTCTAATCACAAATAAGATGTGAATTACTTAAGTTTACATTTGTGTGCCAAAATTTATTTGGCAATTTGAAGCCAGACAAATTCTTCTGAGTACCCGAGCACTATCCCTTTAGTTTTCATTGTCATATCATAATTTGTTTGAATCAACAGTAACCTGCAGAACACAGGACTGGCAGTTACAAAAAGCCTAACACAGAAGTCACTGCGTATACATGTAGTAACTCAAAGGATCCTTCTTGGCATGGCAACTTTTGATGATAGGACTTTAAGCATGTTTATTTGTGACCTTTCTATTTAAGAAAGATCTGTTTTCCCACACCCTTACCAGTTCATATTCTTCTCTATAGGGCTGTACAGAAAGGATATTTTGGATCCAACCAGGGGCTGATGTTTCCATATAGTAGATGTCATAAACATACTCATCTTCTTTCTCATGGTGTTCTTCTTTACCATCTTCAGAAACATTTAAACGCTCACGTATCATCTCTACTGCATTGCAGAGAATCACATCTGGATCAGTCTTCTGCTGAGGAAAAAACAAAATATTAAAAAAAAAAGCATATTTCCACTGAAGCCATGCACACGAAGTTTTAGTTACAGCCAACAGTTTTCTTTGTGGACAGTAGCCAACACCTAGCTAAGGATGACATTCTGCAATCTTAGACCGAAAGACTTTCCCGTTGGAATGCTGATACTTGGAACATTAGCAATCTAGAACAGAAAGACGCCAAAGAATTTTCCGATTACCATAGTACTGTGCTGCCACGCCTTGTGTCAGATAATGGGAGAAAACTTCTGGGACAAGTTCATTAGAAACTATTGAAGGGGGTATGACTATCCTGTACAACTGTTCATCTGTTTCTGATGACATGTTTGTTGAAAAGACAAGTTTTAAGACAGCCTGTGCTTTGTAGAGCGTTACACTTGCAACACTGCAGGAAAGACGTGCATACAGTACCATGGATAATATGCAAGCAGACTACAGTATACAAAGCGTGCAGAAGAAACAATGAAAATATGACAGATTAACAGGAAAAGGCTGACAGGCCCTACAGATACACTTTTTATTTCCTTTGTTTCCTCACTTCAACATTAACACAAGAAGAAATTTCTTCAGGCTTTCTCCTTCCTAATAAAATGTATTTATTTGCTTTAGTGACCTGCACTTGAAGGTCTACACAGGCAGGTTTTTGCTGCCAGTTTTTCTCTGCTAGAGCTTTTCAGAATATCTTGTCCAATCCACAGTGGTGTCTCCCAAACTACTCAAGTAATTCTGAGGAACAGCTACACACTAGCCTTTCATTCACTTCTGAATACTTACAGAATGAAAAACAAAGCTTACTCCTTGCTTTCAACGGTTACTACTAGCTCTAAAAGAGTAAGGGGAAAATTCTGATGCTACCTCAGTTTCATTTCTGTTCTTCTAATCAGCAGAGTGATAGGTAACAGTTAACAGATCTCAAACATCTGTTTGAGCTACTTGCTTAATACAAAGCAAGAGTTCATATTAAAGTTTGAGAGCAAAGCCCTGAAATAACCTACAAAAAACACTGAAGAATGACAGCTGGTTGGGCTCTTCCTCACCTGGGTATCTTCTTTAACATGAAGCACTGAAGTTTTCCTCAGAGCTGTGATGGGCTGCATAAGTAAAGCATCCACCTGTACTTACATACCGTGAAGGAACTACTAAAGAAAGCATACACCACCCTCTTACCTTCTTTTCCATATGGTTACGAGTCTCTAATACAAAATCTTCTTAACACTCTGTCTGCAGGGCAACCCTACACAGAAGGCAGAGCTTCTTCATACTTAAAACCATGCTAGCTACTGAGCAGATGCTCCTCCAACTGAAAACACATGTAACTCATAATACCAATGAAAACAGGATGTAGGGGCTTAAGCAGCCTGCCAAACACCTAGAGTTCTGCTAAAAACAAAATATACAGTAAAACCTTATATGGGAATAATGAGAAGGGGAGGCTCTAAAATATCTTTTCCTTTAATGAATCTTGCCTACAAGTGACACTCCTAGGCATCTTGGTAGATGAGAAGACATTGAATTAGATTTTTTTCTTTTCTAGTTAGAGAAGTTAATAAAAAAACCTCAGAGATCCACCTGACAGATGAACATGAGAATTTATACATCAGAACATGGCACAGAAAAAACGGGGTGGTACAAGCCCTTCCTGTAGCAGCCAACTCCACACAGCTGTCTGTCTCAACATCAGTGCACTTAAGAGTCGTCATGAAAGTTACTCCCTGTACAATATTCCAACTTGCAAATATCTAGTTAAAGCTCCTATTAAATAGTGGAATACTTACAATGCAAAAAAACTTCCACAGCAGTCAGTCTGCCCACATGTACCAGTCAACAGTGATATCAAAGTACTTCAATTACACTAAATTCGTTTGCTGACCTGTGGGTTTGCAGCAATTACACTGGAGTCTCCCACCACCTCTTCTTCTTGTTCAATATCAAACAACTGGAATTTCCCACAGCAGTCCGACTGCTTATCAACAGCACCACTCTCCTTTTGTGAAGCATCTTCCGTTGCTTCAGAGTCTGATCTATCACCATCAATCGATGCCTCGCCATTTATGACAGGTGCAACTGTTTCAGTACAGTTAGGTCGATGGCTGGCTATCACACGATAACGGTTTTCCTTCCTTCTCACTTGCTTGGAAGAGCGGAGTTCCTGTATGATTCGCTGAGTGCTTCCTAAAGCGGGTTGCAGACTTTGAGCTGCTTTGTCTCGAGTGATCACTTCTTGAACATATTTTTGAACTGGTTCATTCTGGGTAGAGGAACAAAAAGAAGGAGGAATATAATGACACCATCAACATAGTAAGCCACACTCCTTTCTAGAAGTGATTCGTAACTGCTATTACTGGTGCTTCCTATTTGAGGACTGCGGTACCAACGTTCCTAACAACATTCAAGTAGCTTCTACTACTGCTTTAAGCAACACAACTATCATCATATTCTCTTGATATGGGGGAAAAAAAAGTGTAAGATATTTGTAAATTTTAAGACTGTTTCAATTTGATTTTTAAACAATATACTTTGTGGTACAGAATAACCCTCCAAAAAAACCACATGCCTTTGGAAGACTGTGATGGTCCTAAATTTAAGGCATAATATCCTTTACAGTCTCCTATAAAGGCCAGTTCCCAGAAACAACCACTTCTATTCAACATAAAAGGCTGTACAGTGGATGGAAGTTAGCCTTGTAGGGCTGATGAGCTTCAGCACCTCAAACAGCAGAAACTGAGGCTTCGCTTACTATTCTGTGGTAAGTACAGAAAGGTCAGTGTTGAACCCAGCTCTTCCCGGTGGTCACTGCGTGCTACGTTCCTTTTAACAGCCTGCTCTGCTCGCGGGTACGCTGCTGCTGCGCAACCGGCCGGTCAGAGAGTAGGGGAGGGGAGGCCGCCGTGCCCTTCTGGAGCGGCACAGGACGGCACCTCGCATCGAGACGCTGCTCTCCCGGCTACGAGCAAGGCCTTCGCAGCCAGGGGGGATCCGCAAAGCGGCGCGCGGAGCGCCACCGTCAACCAGGAGAGAGCGGGCTGCTGGCCAAAGCCCCTGCGGGAGCACGACGAAGCGCCCCGGCCGCATCAAACCGCCCCCGCCCGCCTGAGGCGCGGCCCCGGCCTACCCCGACACCGGCCGCGGTACCTTGGAGGACACGGTCGCCACCAGCTTGAAGAGGCTCCTCTCCACCGGCTGGGCGCCGCCGCACTCCGTGCGCAGCCGCTTGCAGGCGAGCAGCAGGGCCTCGGCCGGCTCCGTCCCGCCGCGCTTCCGCTTGACGCGCAGCACCGCCGCCGCCTCCATGGCGCCCGCGCGGCACGGCGGGAAGGGGCGGGCACGGC